ATTCATCTTTCAACAAAGTATGTGATTCGCTACTCTCTTTCTTTGTTGATTCGAGTTTCTCGGATTGAACTTCAACTTCATCATTAAACTTATAAACAGGCACTTCATACAACAAATCACGTTTTAGAACTTTATATTCATTGAGAAATGATTTGGGTGCGAATCCACGCTTGCCATTTATCTGAAACAACAATCAGTACATGGAGAAAATATATCTTTTAAAATATATCTTTTAAAAATATATCATTGGAATCAAGAAATATCAATTTCAGATATCAGCAGAAAGTTGAAGTTTTTAAAAATATAAACAATAAAAATATTATATTACATGACATAGAAAGTTCAATAGAAAGATAACACAAAGTATACCTCAACACCCCATAAGTCTGTCCGTTTTCCAGAGCCTTTACTAAAAACTTTGACATCTACATTGACACCAAATGACATTACTTCGTGATCGTTTGCTCTGTAAGCGAGTATAGTCCTGGCCAGCGAAACAGGTTCTAAATAACAAAAGAAAGTAATACAATGATCATAATGCGGCCAAGTAGAACGAGAAAAAAGTATGTTATGGGTTTCAGATCTAAAGTATGGCTTCAATTACCCGAACAATTTGGGTCGTAACATAATTGTTTGTCGGACAGGGCGGCTAGGCATAATGATATTGCGCAAAGAATTGTCGTGATACGCAAAAACGAGACATTCGTAAACGGATTTATTTTCGTCATATTTTCACCGTTGCAAAGTTCCACATCACTACCAACGTCTACTAACACAAATAGCACTGCTCACAATTTACAGTATTCACACTCAATCACACTCAACACACAACCATGATATAAAGACAAGAGTATGCCCATGCGCAGGATGTAATCACGTGACAATCGAGCGACCAATCAAAAATCACCAAGTACGTCATCATTTCGTGATAAATTCGAATGTATTATTTATCAGTATACTTACAACGCTCCCCTTGTAATACATTTTAATAAATACAAAAGATATTAAACACAAAATAAATATTAAAAAACAATATTATAAATACAAAAATATTATAATATAAAAAAGAATACTAAAAATTAGAATATACAATATATTCTAGAAATTTATTTAAATACTCAGGTTAGTCCGTGAGCGAAAAAAAAACGCTATATCTGTATCTGTACGTTCTACTACATTGATTGGGTAATTATTTAGAATATCCCCTTCCCCCACCTAAAATCTTAATAATAAAATATATTCATTCGATGAGTTTCACTCAAAATGAAAGAATTTGGAAAAAAAAAAGTAGTGTTAAAGTAGGAGACTTTAGAGGTTAAAATATTTGTCATCCCGACTCGACACAGCGCTATGTATACGTTCTGTATTAATTATACAAATTCTTTACAAACACAAGTTTACTCCTTTAAAAATACAAATTCAGTGCTTAAAAACAAAAATTCACTGCTTTAAGCACACAAATTCTTTGCATTAGCAGTGAATTTTTGTTTTTAAAGCAGTAAATTTGTGTTTGTGAAGCAGAGAATTTATTTTTAAAGCAATGAATTTGTGTAATTAAGGCAGGACATATATATAGCTCTATATTGAGTTATAGGTACGTGTTTCTGCCAGATTCTTTCGTTTCGAGTGAAAACGCGTCGAATATATTTTTATTACGATTCTAGATGGGGTGAGGTATTCTAAATAATTATCTTAATTTGATTAATGAAATAGATTTATAAAATTGCTGTTTTTATTTCAGATTTTTTAAATCAATGTCTTAGGAATCAACCTCAGTAAAAGTATCATTATTTTACCTTAGTGCTTAATTAGAGTTAAAATATAAAATAAGAAATAGTTTTCAAAGATGTATTTAACAAATATTTTTTATTACTTAGCTAGCTGTCTAGAATGTGACAAGTATTTATTTTTTCAAAAGTATTTTCCTCATAATTTATTTCAAACCAAGAATCGAAAACTTTTGTGCATTTTGTAATTTGATTAATTATTAATATCTTATTATATATACACTGAGAGAAAAATGTACTTTTAATAAATATGTAAATTTTAATAAATATTTGTTTGAATATATTGTAGTACCAGTTGAATATTTACTAAATGTAAACACATATATTTATTTGATACAAGAACCATTAATTTCATTTACACATTATTATAGCAAATATTTATTTTCCGTAAATAAATATTATATTAATACTATTCAAACAATTATTTATTAACATTTTTCTCTCAGTGTATTAATTAACATGCTCGCAGCCATAATTTGTGACCATATTGCATGAACCCGAACCACTCCGGACTTAATCAAAATCACTCGAGGTTAATGACGTAAAGCCCTGCGAGGGCAACAGCGATAGCGATAGAAATAACAATAGCAATAGCGATAGTGATAGGAACAGAGAAATCCAATATACGGAAATGCATATGTCAATGCACATATTCCATATACATTCCCATATGTTGGATTCCTCTGTTCCTATCGCTATCGCTATTTCTATCGCTATCACTATTGCCTTCTCATTGTTTAAAGCTTAACTTGATGACGTCACGTGTTTTCTATATATGCGCAATAAAATATCACCGGACGAACATATACATGGTATAAGTAGAAAAATAGAAATATCGCTCATAATGGCAGAGAACTGAAATCTTGACCAATCAGAGCTTGAGCATTTATGTAGCGTGTGCTATTTAAATGTTTCAAAAATATTTAAATTAAAATAAGATGATTTAACGCAATTTGTATAAAAATATGTTCTTTTTATATAAATACATATAATGTTGTTTTCATATTATTTTGATGTTTCAAGGCTGACTTAACTTGTTGACGGTCACGTGTTTACCTCCTCTTTTCTATATCTGTATTATTTCTGCATTCGTTTACCCAGCGGTTAGCGCAGAAGCATTACTTTATCCTTGTTGTTCACCGAGTAAACGAGGATTAAATGATACTCTCTGATCTAATCACTGCGTAAACGAATGCATCCAATGGGTTACCACCGGACGAGTATACCCTTGTCTTATCATGCCCAGGACTACAAAGTTCACAAACGCGAGTGTCGAAAATCAAAACTTAACTCGAAACGCAAAATCAGTCTACTTTTATTTATGTAAGTGGAGTCTCCTTAAGGCCGGTTTTATCAACGCCGATCAAACTTAATCGTGAATAACTGTCTACTGTTAATTGTTGTAATTAATTGCTGTAATCAATTCTACTAAACAGCTGATGGTCAGTCAATGGCCGATTAATTTAATCAGCGTTTGTGAAATTGGCCCTTAATCTTCCTTCTTTACGTTAACATACTTCAGCACGCATTTTGATGAAAAAAATTCTTATAACATCTTGTATTTTAAAAACATTGTCATAATTTTAAATTTATGAAGATTTTTGAAAAAAATATCTTAAACTTTTTCAGATTTTATATAATAAATTTTCTTCAGAAATTTTAAATGAGAAATCTTAAAAATTTTAGAATATTTCAGGATTCACATACATGAAGAAAGAGACGTATTTTCTTATTTAGTATTTCTGGAGAATGCATATACTATTCATATAAAAAATACAGAAATTCTTAAAAATTTGAAAAGTAGATATATAAAGATTTTGAAAAATTAAATGAAGAATTTTAGGAAAAATTTTCACCAGGATATATAATGGAAAATAGCGTCTCTCTCTTTCTCTCCTATTATAATATAATTTTTGGAATTGTTTCTTGAAATTAAAAAAAAAATTTTGCGATTTTAGTTATTGGAACATTGAAAATTGTACCTAACATTTAATATTTTTGTCAATTGAGGAGAGATTCATCTTACCTTATAATTTCGTTTAATTAACTTGTTGGAGAAAATACTTGTGGGAAGATCATAAATAAAAGATTTGAATATATATAGAAGGAATTTAATAATATTATCGTAAAGTTTTTTTAACATATTTTGTTCTACATGACTAGATTATAAAAGCAATTAAAAATTTACGGATTTAACAATATTAAATATTATGCATCACAAAAAATATTATATAGATATATTGAAATTTCACAATGTAAGTGCGTATTCTTATCTCTTTTATAAAAAGAGCTTTAATTCTTGTTCTTACACATATAAAAAATACTTAAGCCTCTCTGTATACGACGAAATATAAAATAATTTCTATAGTAATATGTAACACATCTTTATAATGATTTCTAACGCGTTTATCAAACGTCAAATATGTAACAAACGCTTCTAAAAAAGAGAAGAGAAAGTCGTAGTAGAAATTTTAATATTTTACGTTATACAAATTCCTTCAATTATTATTTAATTTCTTCATGCTTCTAATATATGTATAAAGTATATATTTGTTTTGATATTCTTATTTTCCGAGATTCTTCACAAATAAGTGGAAACAAACCACATTTTAAAAAACTACAACAACTCGTAAAATATATTCTGTAAATAACAAAGCAGAATATTAAGAAGTATTATAAAATAAGATGACTAATCTTTATATAAAACAGGCGTAACCGTAAACATTGGAAAAATATACAAAGAGAACTATATAATTCCTTTTTCAATTGATTACTTAATGCGCGATATTACGAACAATTGTATGAATATTTAATTATTTAGTATATTATAATGCTAGATTCAGCTAGATTATACGCACTGACGCGAAGCAAAATTTAGCTGTATACATAACTTTATTGTTCTTAAATATCCTGCGTAAAATTTAAAATAATAACGATTTATTATGAAGCAGGTATATCGTGAAACTTATTATGCAGTTAATACAATTGAAACTAATTCTAATTAATCTAACTTAGTCCTCACAATGTCACTCTCTGTGTGAATTCAATTCCAATATTTTCAGCTCGTTAATACTAGAATGTATACAAATGCACAGCATGACGCTACGTCTAAGTATCTTTTCTATCATGAAAAATAATATTGTATGACTTCGAAAAAATTTAGAAAACGTAATATCCATATATATATATATATATATGTATATATATTACAAGCATATATTTTAGTCACATATCTAATTTTGTGCCATAACACTTTACAATTGACTACTACAGCAGCGATTATAAACTTTATAAATTCTTTATATATCCTCGTCGAAGATTGCAAATATAGCAAACTCTAGTTGTCACTACTATTACGCCAATATATATCTAATACCTTATACATAGTGTCTCGGGCACTGCAAATTTGCTGTCGACTTTTAATTCTTTGGCAACTTTGAAATTAAGTCGATGCCATTTCTTTGTATAATTTCTTAATCTTTAACATTTATTTTGGCGACCAAGACATGAATAAAAACTTTAACTTAATCGCCAACATTCTGTAATTTTTAGGTCACTCATAACTGTAAAATTGTTAATGCATCGAAGCAAATTCACTTAAATTTTTAATTTGGCCTCTAACGATTGCAGTCCGACATAGAATGCCTGAGACACCCCGTATACATTCTTTAAACTGCTGCTTGCTCAAAAAGAATCTTTATTATATAGATCATTATTATATAGTATCAACTTCTCTCTCTACTTTTAAATGTTTTAACATATTTTTAGTTACGCGAAACTGTTGATTATACATTTAAAACACCTATACCATCTGAAATCAGAGAAGTTTGAGAATAACTGTGTATTTTGTATTACACAAAAATCACGTGTTACAAGAATATATGAATCACATAAGTGTCGTGAACATCAAAAATTTCTTATACTACCATTTGATTGCCATAGAGAGTAGGGAGAACTAAATAGTCGAAGAAAGAAGCCAGTAATTAAATTCTACATGAATTATGTGAATGAAGATCATGTTTGTTATCACACAGTAAAAAATAGAAGTGATTCTTTCATGGAAAAATAAGAAATAGATAATGCAGAATCTTTTTAATCATAAAATATCCTCCATTTTATGAAGTTATCAAGATCAAATATTCTTTCGATTGCAAATTTTCCGCTCAATCTGCCGCTTTCTTATCCAACATATGTGAATGTACTACTTGAATGACTGCTCCGCCTTTTTTTCTTGTTCATGTATTAGTAATAGGAGAGCAGAAGTACATCATTTGATGAAACTACAATCTGCTCAGAAAATAAAGATTATAATATGATACTTCACAAAACGAAAAGTTAACTATAATCGATTCATTAATATTTTATTTTATATTTAACGTCTTTGTATTTTGCGAAACGTGCATTACAGTATGTTGATTGTAAATTGTAATTACATTAGCTATAAAAATATTGAAAATTTAGATTAAACAATTTGAGTATCAGGTTAAATAGAACCCCAAAAGTGTAAGGTATAAGTACAATTGCCCCGTATAATCCATCATGTAAACATAATTCTTGAAATGCAAAATATGAAACATTGATTAGTATTAACAAATTACTGAATTATACTACTTGTATTATTAATACATCAACAACACAAGTTTCTGCATTACATATTTCCTTGTAAGTACGATAATAAATTTGTGTGCTATAACTGGCGAAATAATGAAAATTTATGGTGCGATAAGATTCATGTATTAAGCTATTTGTAAGTCATTTGTAAAGTTCACGCAGTCTTTGTAAATATGTATCATCAGATCAGTTTCAAGTAAATTTAGAAAATATATGTTTATATTTGTTTTATATGATTTACGTTGTATGATTACGTTGTATGACGTTAAAACAAAAATTGATGAGCTAGTATAGTGAAGCTAATGTAAACCTTTGTAGATTATTATTAAAATAGAATGATGATAAATGAGCGTCTTCATTTTATACAATATATTAATGTAAATCACACCAATATTCCTACTAAACTACAAAATTGAAATCATATTTTCGCCTATCGTTTAACATCAAGCTATTTGTAACTCATCGATCACCCTTCTAAATTTCATCAAATATTAACATCAATTGAACGCTTATTTCACTTTAAATGTACGTGGTTTTTAGAAACCAACAAGAGTAAAGGCAACATTTTTTAATCGTTCTTTTTATGAAATTATATCTATAAGTTTTCATAAAGTCGAGGTAAATATCTTTCGTCTGAGTACTTTCTCTCTACAAATCAACTAATCATTCTCAAAATTGAAAATGAGGAACACGCATCGCTAAATTTATACAACTTCACATCAAAATTGTAATAAATTCCACGTTCCCCTTATGCACGTGAGCGCGCGCGCGCACGCGACTGCTAATGCTTGTAATAGTCTAGTATTGCTTTGCTAAATAGAAATAGGAAAAATTCGCGTATCAACATATCATAGACTTATTACAAAATTAATGATATTAAAATATATAATAACAAATTTGTCCAAGAATAATATTAAGTATAAGTAAATTTTTAATATGTGTGCCCTCAAAATATTAGACATCAAAATTGTCTATATAAATTTTATTATACAAATTAATATCACGAAAATACGTTTTTAAAGACCTTCTTGTTTACCCTGAATGTGTAATGACAATGAAAGGCACACCGTATAGAACCGTAACAAGTGGTTATGAAATGGCACAGATTTATCTATTATTATCATAATAAATTAAAAGGATATTTTTTAATTGTACGCTTATATAAACAGCTAATATAGGATTAATAAAACTCTTAAATGATTAAATATTATGCAAGTTGTAAAAAGGAAGAGGAAAAGCGACAATCAATTCCACATTTACGAGAAACATATGAATTTGAAATTACTGTGGAGTGTCTGATATACCGATAAACGATAAATATTACCACATCGTTGATTTAAATGTACTGTCATTGGAAATGAAAGAATTTATTCACGCTGAGAAACTCGTTGTTTAACTGTATCCTAACTGCACTTTGCGGCATTGGCAAAGCCATTTAATAATACGTGCGTTTCGCTCGACAATACTCGGCGGATCATTTACCCTTTGGTTACACTCATCGTTACCCATGCCAATACTGCAGTTATTTTGCCACTGACTACCCTGATTTGTCTGATTAGTGCCGACCCAGGAGTAGAGGCCCAACGCCGAGTCCACAGAGCTGACACTATCGAAGAATATGGGCGACGATGTCTTGGAGTCAGGTTCTGTTATACGCTGATAATTATCTGAGTCCAGTCCTAAACGATCAAAGAAGTTCTCGAGCTGAGTCATCGATCGTGGCGGGCGAGAGGATATCTTGCTGGAACGGCCATTATCCTGCCGCCAATATCGATCGCTAATGTCTGATTTAGATCGTAGGATCGGTCGACCGCGACCTTCCTTCCAACCATCAGAGAACCTAAAGTCATAATCATATTATAACAAACGTTGCTGTTAATTTCCTTTGGGTAGACAATAGACGTTTTAAATCTTCTTTACAAACATCTTAAGTAATTGAAAGCGAAAGGCGGTTGAATACCTTGAATTACAAGTTGGGCTGTAATCTGTTTGACTATTGCTACTTTCAGACTCCGGACTGTAGTGTCTCACAACGGATGGCGGTGTTCCACCAATATAGCTGCCTTTTCTAGATCGGTCTTTCTCAGTAGAATGTTGTGTGGATGCACCGCTATCTCTGCGTATATGAGCCCAACAATCCTGCAAGAGATCGACGATCATTAAGACCAAACAGTCCCCTTGGAATATATATATCTCGTCGACCTGTTTGTACCTGTATCCTGGGCGCTGGCTCGCTACGATGAGTACAGTGTCCAGAGGAGCCACCGGAGTCCCTGGCTGTCGCCCCGTGGCTCAACTTGCTGGAACCCGATGACTTCTGTGTTCGTCCACCCGAGGATAATACGCTGCTCGCATCGCCGCCACCAGATCCCAAAGATCGCCTGATATGGCGGGAACTAAAAAATGGATTAGAAATGTATCACAATTGACCATCCACTTTACTTAAAATTAAGTAAAATTGTTGGATGCAATTTATTATGGCAATTTGTATCATTTAATAACAATACTTGGATTTTCTCTCGGCAATTTGTATCATATTAAATGGTACAAATCTGACTCAAGCAAAACTCACTTACCTGCGATAACAAACGGCATCACGTTTAAAACTGTGGTCCGAATAATCTGAGCTAGTTTCATAGTCCGGGCAATTGCTTGTGTTTGTAGCCTGATGATGGGCAGACGGCTTCGCGGATAATTTTGTGGATGCGCGCGGTGAGAGAGATGCTCGGCGACGCGTACTCGTGTGTAAATCCGGCAGCGACTTGTGGCATATCGTATTTTCCACCGACGGCGAGCTGTTTGATTTCCGACCGGATCTACCCGAAGTGTGCGAGTGCGAGTTGCTTCTGCCAAACTTGAAACGAACATCTTGCGGCGCGCAATGCTGCGAAAAAAAAAACAAGGCAACGTGTAATGATACAACTAACGTAGTGTTCATTGATGAACGCGTATATAAATTCCCTTGACAAAAAAGTGTATGTGTAGCGAACGCTAGCATATATCGCAGAGCTTAAAATAGTGCACGATTATGCGGAAGGTGAATGACGGTATTATAGCACGAGGCGAAGATCGATATGTCGTGATTTTTTTTCTTACCAGAATACGATCATCATCCCGACAACCGGGCGAGAGACTTCCGGGCGAATATCGAAATTTCTCCTCTCGTGTCGGCACTCCATTACTCTGCGCCGTGCTCTGCGGCGGGCTGTCGGGAAAGAACATATTCTCCTTGCTGTCAGTGTTCAGCAGTCGACGCAGCTTTGTTTGCAACTCGCCCCCGGTACCGCTCGGGGGTCCCGAAATTGTCCGTCTTTGGGGAACCGGAACCAAACGTGGACTCTTCGGTGGCAGCGCGGGTGGCAGTGTTTGTTGAGGGCTCAGAATCCCATCTACTGCAAAATCGTAACAAAACTAGATTGTCATCTGCTGCAAAAGTGAGTAATTAATAAAATATAATTCATAATTAATAAAAATGTATCATTTAATTCTGTTGAACATGATTTAAATTCTATGTAGATTCTGAAAAAACCTATGTGAAGTCGAAACGTTAATCAATTTTGTAATTGTGTGAAAACATATATAATATTGTATCTCTACATCCGTATAATTTTACATGTAGTCGTTTCAAATATTTTTATGTGTTGCTAAGTAAGATAATGGGCGATTTATTGTTTTTTAATAAAAATACATTAAAAAACATTAAAATTATAAAACATTAGAAATTGCAAAGACGATTTCAAAAATTTGAGTTTTTTCGAACGAAATAAATTTCGCGATTTTTTTTTCATCGGATTATTATCGGATTATCCTGGAATAGAATCACTCTCATGTCATTTTAGGCTCGAGACCCTTACAGAGATCTAATACTGGCAAATTTAATACACTAAAAATACAAAATTTAATATGTATATAAATTCACTTTGAAATATTCAAGCACTAAGATCCGCTTTAACTGAAAATAAGTTTATTTCTCTTAATTGATTTATTCTCGTCAATTTAATACAAATTCTAATTGTTAATACTAAAAGGTAGTAATTAATCTATACAGCACAGACTTTCAAAGGACGTCTTAAAGACACGCAGAAGATGTTTTTACATTTTAAGAACGTTCCCAAAGACATTCCCAAGACATCCCTCGGGGAAAGTGTGCTGTGGGAATTACTTATTTAAAGTATTAAAAGCACTGTTGTTCAGTGCTTTTAATAATTAATTACTGTCTTTCAGTAATAAATTGGCCAATATTAGATTTCTCTAAGGGAAGATCTCTCTAGCGACTTACGTCTGTCTTGTTCGTGACACGAGGCCCAACAGCAGGGCGGCGTCATGGGAGTTGGTTGCAATTGCGACGGCGACGTCGGCTGCATGGGGCATGAATTGCCGGTGCATTTTCGCAGCAATCTCGGAGGCGGTGCGCCAGGCGCGCTCAGTTGCGAAACCTGCAAGTGTCCGCTATTCTTCAGCTCCTGCTTCCGATCCAGCACGGTTTCGCTCTTTACGTAGAAGGCTTTCGTTTCCTGCAGCAATTCAACGGCGCTCTACCGCTTCCCTGTAACACGCACGTGGCGTAAAGAAAAAGGTCATCAGTGAAAGATTACCGGTGTAAATAATCCGCTTTCTGGAAGGAAACACCGTTTTCGGATCAGATACCTGGTTGAACCACGTGAGACAGTGGGTCCCCACGTAACCGCTAAATTTATGGAAACCGGCTTCTCTTTAGAATATCAGCTCCCAGCAGGATCTTTGATCTCTAATATTTATGCCAGGCTGATCAAATGTCCCGGAAGAATCACGTTTCATACCGGTACGTGCGTGCGTTTTGCCTCAGCTTATTCGAAGCTTAATTTTTTAATTAACGAATAGGTATTTAAGTATTTTATGGAAATTTCTCTATTACTTTTCAAACTAGTTATCACTCGTTTTTTTATACATATTTCAGTGCTGCTATCCAGTCGAATCGAAAAAAAATGAAACAGTGATTAAAAATGGAAAAGTGACAAAAAGTAACTTTTCAGACATTAAAATAATAACCAAAAATGACTAAAATATTTTACTACATTTTTAAAATAATAATTAGGGAGGAACCTGATTTAGAACGCTGAAAAATAGCTGTTTTTTGCGAATTTTTTATGAACAAATCATGAAACCGATCTTTCTAAAACTTTATTAAATAAATAATTATTTTATTATATGTAATAATATAAAGATTCATCAAACAAAATAAAAATTAAATTAAATCATTATTATCTAGAGCAAGAAGATAAATACATTTTTACCATATTATAAAAACAATACATAAAATCTTGAAAATTGCAACAAGAAAACAAAAACGTGTTCTTTGAGTGCAAGAAATAATTGTATTTTTTAAAAAGTCATGTCGCTTTTCAGTTTCACACTTACTTTAAAGTTTTAAGTTTAAAAACAAACTTAACACTGGACTATTATCCAATCAATCAGCAACAGTGAATGAATATAAACCACTATTTTTAAATAAGACAATAAAAATATAAATAGATCGTTATGTTTTAAAAATTTCATGTCAGCTCAGAAATAATTATAATAATTCATTTTAAATGTAGTAATTTTTGAGCAACTTGTTAAAAAAAGGTGACAAAAAGTGACTTGATAACAAAAATGACTGGATAACAGCGATATTTTTATTTATTAGATATATAAAGAGAAAATATGAACGCACAAAAATTCATGATCCGAATAAGTCGATGCTACGAAAGTATTTCATTGTTTCGAATAATTGCGAGCGAGGCTATTTAATATTCAATTTGCGCGCGTGCGGTGTTTATTAAGAAACGTGATGAAATGCTAATGCGGAACGTACGAATGGCTGTTGCATACGAAATAGAGTCCCGCCGCCAATTAGAGCGGCTTTCGTATATAATCTTACTTATACTAATTGGCAATTTGGCGATAATCTCGTTCCGCGCGTAGATTTACAAGCCGGATATCCCCGATATGTAGAAAGAGGAACATATATCCCTGATAGAGAGAGAATCAGCGTTAAAGCCAGTTTATGTCGACTTAATCAATGACACGCATGTTTTTCTTCGTTATCAATCGTTTCTCGCCATCTAACATTCTTTTCATATCGTCTGAGACCGATCTGTTTGGCGACACGTTCATTCCTATGGCATCATCGGCGACGATCGCGATCATTACGCGCGGTGAATATCTTGCTCGGGCAAGTAGTGCCTTCAGTTATGTGCCAAGATTGTCGAGGGCAAGTGTTAACGACGGACAAGCAACCGTTGACAAACGGCAGCGTCTGTGAGTTCTTCTTCAGTTTTCGCATCGCTGCTGATTGACGACATGTGCCCAACATCGGCCGACACGCACATGTCTCCAAAGAACGTCAGCCAGATAAAACCCGGCGTTTCTCTCCGGAGAGGCAGCCACCGACTGCGATAATGGCTGGGACACATACTGGCGATAAAAAAAAGAGTCAGTTATGACAGAGGCAACGTCAAGGCCACATATTGTATCGCAACACATGGTGAAATCACCGAGGAGAATATGCAAAAAGCAATGGGGACTTTCTAACGTTTCATGTTCATTCTATTTTACATCATCACCTCTTTATCAAAATTCAACACGGGGAAAAGGCTTTAGCACAATCTAAAAATTTAGTTAGATATATATCTGATAATAATTGGACCATCAAAATAATTATGTAATACGTTCAAATTGGTTGTTAAAATGTCACAATTTTTTGCAGCATTCATCATTATACTTGAGATTTCCACATAATTATTTTAATGGTCCAACAAAGAGTTGTTTCTCAAATCTATATCCAGCTAAATTTTATATACTTCAATGAAATCGTTCTTTTCGTGCATGAAATTGAAATTGATTAGAAATTAATTTGAATTTCATTGAATATTTATAAGTTTATATATATAATTACTTATAATTATCTATAGCTATATAATACAATTATCGTTCTTTCTTCATATGGGAAGAATAATTTTGCTGAAATATCTAAAAATTTTGGAAACAATTTTATTGGACCATCGAAATGTTTGTGTAGAAAACTCAAGCATGATGAGCAATGCAACAAAAAATTTCTGACAATCAGCTTGAGCTTTATTTCTATACAATTATTTTAATGATCCAATAAAATTTATTTTCAGATCTGTATTTAGTTTTTTTATATTTTAGCAAACCATTTTTTCTGTGCATTATATGATTTAGGCAGGAATGATAACATAATTTTAATTCTTCTTTTTCTTTTTAACAGACACCTCTTCGCAAATATTTCTATAGATGTGAAACTTCGACTAATATCTACCAGGCATGTCTTTTCGTGTTAAAAAGAATTCATCGCGATTAGAGAAAATTTATGTCGATCCTTGAGAGAATCACAAGCCACTATCGCGAAGTATATTGGCGACGTGTTATCGCAACATTAAATTTGTTGGATCGAATCGCAGCATTGCGCTCACCATAAATTGTCGAAACGAGGCTATCGGACTATCGGCGTTCGTCCTTAATCGGACGTGACACAACCGCGCACAATGGGACGTTAATGACGAAGATAATCCGAATTGTCGTAAAGGCAGAAAATGGAACGGATAATTTCTCATCGGAAGGTATAACTACACAACTGTATATAACTCGCGGTATATTTAGAAAAGTCTGTCGTTTGACGTCGATGAAATAAAATGTAAAAACTAGAACGGAAGTAATGGGAATGGATTCTTTTCGCCAAATAAAATTCGATCTCGACTCAATTCGCACGTTATAGCCGCATGGTGACTCAAAACCAATAGTATTTCGCTTTTACGCTTTTGCCGGTCAATTCTCTGGTATGGTACGGAATGTACCGACACATGATGGAAATTTGTTTTACATCTGGCGGAACTTCGAACGATTCGAAAGACCTGTGTAGAAATTTCTTTTTTTTTTCCTTTCTTCTTCTTCTTCAAGTGAATGCACGCGTCAATAGGGCGCCTTGACGCATCGATTCGCGATGCAATTCGCAATGCGATTCGCAATGCGTTTTGCAATGCGTTCTCACGCGCTCTCACCTGTATAGTCGGTATGTCGGTGATGACTTCTAACGTACGACGGTGCGGAATGTCTGATCTGCTGCATATCCCAATATGGATTCCGGCTACTTCCGAAATTGTTCATTCTCGTCTGCTGCGAGGGCGACGACGATTGTTTGCAGGGCAGCCGAGCCATGGCAGTCGTCATCTTCTCTTTCACGGTATCTAAGCTGATTGCCTCGTAGACGTCCCGCTCAGTTTGTTACGTCGTCGTCTCAACCCCATTTTCAAGCTATTGTTTGCTCCCTAAAAATAAAAATGATCATGAGTACAAAGGAGAATATATTAATAAATAGGTTCGATCAATGTTAATGTTCCACCAACGTAATATTAATTTTAATCTCGATTTAATGTATAAAAGCTAAACAGTAAATTAAACCGGGTAAATTAATCTTACATTGATGGAAGCGAGCCTTAATTATGTTATTATTGGTAGTGAAAATTGAGTAAATTTCGTGCATCATGAACAGAATTATAAGCGTACAGAACTGGCTGAAGTGCCGAGTGGGAAAGTGCCAGTTCACGCGCTTAGTTTAATATTTATCAAGCTGATTGCATTCAATGCTATCGCAGCCAGGTGTCTTTCATTATCACAACACCGACTATGTAATACACGAGCTACCCGTTTGCCTTACAAAAGAATAAAACGCGCGCGACATCGGAGAAGCACCTGTACTCCTCTTTACCAGATCCTCCCCTATCAATAGCCATTCCAATTTAGATTGAGAAGGGTGCGTCACTCCTCGACAGCTCGCACCCGTATGGATCTCGTAACAATGCCGCTTAAATTGGTCGCGTGAAAGCCAGCAAGGCTGGTGTTACAAAAATAAAAATATATAGTGTGATCAATCAAAAGGTGAGGTTTTTATTAAACTCCAATTAATCTAAGAACTCAAGTCGAAATAACATAAAATTGTTAGAATGCTGTAATTAAGTTTGACTCTTGGACCAAAATTATGTGAATAAAATTATTAAAATCATTTTAAAACTTTTCATTATGATGACAGACACAGCAGCTGTAAAAATAACACTGTGTTTATAGTATCTGATCTGTTTGCTCCATCTTAATAACCCTCAACTGAGAGTCTCCGAGATTCTTGCTATACTTTCTTGCACAGAATTAAATTTTTTTAAATTACTAATATTCTTAAAAATTATTAAAATTATCAATATCATTATTTGAAAATAAATAAATTACTTCTGTGTTGAAATATAAAAAAATACAAGCAAAGAACGTATGCAAAATGAAGAGAAATTATTTTTATTTCCCTTTTTTCTTCTAAAAGGAAGAATCTCTCTAAGATTCCACATCCATTAGTATATAATAAAAAAGCATACCACAGTTAAAAATAAATAAATTGATTCTCTTCGTTGAAATATAAGAAAATATAAGAACGTATATAAAATGAAGAGAAATTATTTTTATTTCCCTTTTTCTTTTTAAAATCTTTAAGATGATCTTTCACATCCATTAGTATGTAATAAAAAAGCATATCCACACAGTTAAGAGTTAAGATCTTCATAGACTATCCATTTATACTCATCGGACGTCATACGACGCGGATGGATTCTCTCAAGGCGACAGCTCGATAAATTTCAATCGTCAACTGGTTTAGGTAATTTGCATCATAAAAAGAATCTTTGTCTGATCATCGTTCGAATGATGTCGTCTTGTTTACTAATTCCAGCTTCAATTAGACGCAATCAATCAAATTTAAACGCAATGAAGATAAAACAATTTCTAAATTTTATGAAACACTAATTATGAAATTTTTTATCAAGATGAAAGCATTTTTCGAAGCAAAAATTTTTGCTTTTGATGATAGCCAAAGTTATTTAATTTCGACAGTTTAATTCAATTTTAATTCGATAATTTCGATACTGAGCGATGAAGGTATCATTAAATTTTATTCGTGTTACCTGAATTCCAAAAAATTTTTGCACTTGAAATGAGATACGTACATATTTGGAGAAAAAAAACAAGCAAAGATTCTGAATACAAAAAATTCAACAAAAAGTAAGCAACACGAAGAGGTATAATGCTCTCTCCGCAAAATTTGTATATTCCACACAGTCCGAAATGGCGAACTCGAGGTTAGCAAACGATGTTGAAACAGCGAAATTGCTCGACCAAACAAAAAAAGCTTTGACAGCGAGTTCTTCTTTCCACAAGAGAAGTACACGCATACACGGAAAGGATAGTTTTGCTGAAATATCTAAAAATTTAACTAGAGATCTAAAAATATAGATCTAAAAATAATTTTGTTATACCATCAATGATTATATACCTATGACGCTGGTTGCTAGATGCAAAACTTTTTGCAGTGTATTTCTTATCATGTTTCAAATTCCTATGTAATTATATTGATAATCCAACAAAATTATTTTCATATCCATATATATATTTAAATTTTTTGATACTTTAGCATTTAAAATAAATCATTCTTCCATCTATACGGACAAAATAGTTTAAAATATCTAAAAATTTAGTTAGATACAGATTTAAAATTAATCAACTATAGAATTCTAATAAATAACCAGAAAATTCTAATTTGTCCATTTTCAGAAATTTTTTGTAGTATAGATATACATATAAAGAAACTAATTTTGGACTATCAAAATAATTATGTACGATGTTCAAACTAGTTGTTAGAATGTCAAAATATTGCAATATTGTTCATATTATGTTTGAAGTTCCTATGTAATTATTTTGATGATCCAATAAAATTATTTTTTATATATACCTATACTAAAAAAAAATTTCAGGTTGAAAATGGACGAATCATAATTTTCTGATTATTTATTAGAATTCTAGTTGAGATAACCGGAATTCTGATTAATATTTTTAAAATCTACTAGAATTCTTATTTTTATCAGAATAATTATATCAATCAGAATTCTACTATAGTTGTAAAATAGATTTAACCATTTAAAATTCTGATTCGTCCATTTTCTTCTAAAATTACTATTTAATCCAACCAGACCATTTTTTTTAATGTAACTAATTTTTAGATATTTCAACAAAAATCGTTCTTTCCGTGTCCACAACGCGGTTGACAGGGGTCGGCAGTTCCAACGTATTCATGCGGCAATGTGCAGCAGTGTGAGGCGTCAGTGCATGCTTACGTGTTCTTGTCGCCGCCGACGATGCGCTCAACGAACGGTATCCATCCGTGCGCGACGCACGTATACGAAAGCACGATTCGCGTAAGCGTGAGATGTCCCAACCCGCGTTGGACACCGCCATCAGGACATGCATCGCTGATCACGACGCGCGTGTAAGTATTCGCACGCCTGGCACACGCGTGCAAGTAAACTGACACCATCTACCAGCGATTCGCACCAATCGGTATTTCCCGTTGAATCGGCGGATTTAAAAAAAAATACGCGGACTATACGGATTAAAAAAAAAGCGCGACGAAGTTACTTTTAGTTTATTTTTCAACTTTAATCCTTTGTCATTGAATATATAGGTACATGCGTTCGACAATCATTATCAGGGTGAACTATGGGTCGGTCTCATTTCCGATTACTTTGATTGATCGATTGGAGATTAGGTACTATTAGATATTAAAAATTGTCAATCGTAAAATTTAAAACTGATCATACAATATTATGTTATTATGTTTTTCTTATCCATTTTCTGCAAATTATAATTTATTAAAATATAATACTTAACAAAATATAATACTTTAATTAATATTTAAATAATACATTTAGTATTAAAACTGCTGTTTATATTATTTTGGCTCCGTTAATTTTTTTTTCTTTTATGCATTTAAATATATGAAAATATATAATATAAAAAAATATATAAAATATATTTAGCTATAAATACAAATCTGAAAATAATTTTATCGGATCATCAAAATAATTACGTGGAAATCTCAAGCATGATCGCTAATGCTACAAAAAGTTTTGATCAATTTGAACACTCTATATAATTATTTTAATGGTCCAACAAAATTATTTTTAGATCTATATCTAGCTAGATATTTTCTATGTATATATAATATACAGAATATTGCAAATATATGAATATATTAGGTGTTGGAATTAATTCGTAGCGTTTTACAAGCGATGGGAAGTACTTTCATTAATGTATTTTTTAATGCTCATGTGAAATAAATAACATTCTTTCATTAAAAAACGCTACGAATTAATTCCAACACCTAATAATATAAACAATTTGAATATAAAAAAATATATAAATCTAAATGGTTAGTGCTAAGTTAAAAAGATAAAAGTTAAGTTAAAAAATTAAAAAGTTAATTAATTTTACCTTAACTTTGTTACATTTTAGACTCTTAACTTTTTAACTTTATTTAATTTTATCCGTAACTGTTTTTATTATCCGTAATTTTTTATTTAATTCTTTGAAGTTAAATTTCAGATATAATATGCGGCAATAGCGATAACTTAAAATGAGGCGAAAATTGCAAAAGTGAACAAATTTCTCAGAGCACAAAGTCGTCTAAAAGATAACTAAAAGACGATTAAATTATTATAAAGATATCTTTTAATGAAAGAATATAATCAACGAAAAGACGACAGATGTCGCACTGCTAGTCATCTTATAGTCTTATCCATATAATAAATAAAGGATGACTTCTTTGAATCTTTCAATCATCTTTAATATTCCTTTTAGTTTTTTTATATTTTGATATATATATATATATGTATATAACGTTTAATAACATCGAATTGCTAAATTAATTTTTACACAAAACGAAATAAAATTGCATGACTGACAATATAGGTCCCGTTTCCTGCAATCTTTGTCGTGTCCTATGTGCAAGAGTCATTATCTTTTATCATAGTCCCTTTTGGAGACTCGATCACAAAAAAATATTTGATTAGTGTTCATTAGAACATGAGTAAAATTTCTTATAATGCTATACCTTTTATTCTGTTCCATATGATTTTCAAATCGCGAGAAACTGAACTCCATCACGTCCATCTAGTAGCGATCTCGCGTATTGTTCGCGAATGAGTGATAAAAAGTACCAAAATAACGGAAAAATATCTTTTTCATCTTGTCTTTTCGGCAATACGAAAAAATCTTTTAGTCAACATTTGCTTTGTGAAAATGACAACCATAGAAAGATGACGAAAACATGTCTTTTTAAGTTTCCAAAAATTAAAAGATAGATATCTTATAGACATCTTTTGGTCTTGCTAAAAAGACAATCTAAAAACAATGTCTTTTCGTCGTCTTTTGGACACCTTTTCGCTTTGTCGAAAAG